CCATGGAATGAGGCGACCGTAACTTCCAAAGAGAAAAACATTTTCATCAAAATATAATGTGCCTTTTAACTTTACTTCTTCGATTCTCGTTATATTTTTACTTTTATTTTTACTTATTTATTTATTTCTATTTTTACATCGGTCAATAAACATAACAAGTTCAGCTTTCTACTGTCTATTTACGGCTGAAAATAAATTCACTATGCCCAATACTAACACGAAAATAGAAGATCGCTGAATGCATGGATAGTATAAAGCTTACATAACTGCATGGAGTTTCAGCAAGGAACTTCGATCTACTAGAGATCTGACATGACACTACAAGTTGTAAAAAGTATATGGTAAAAAAGCAATTTAACTTACTCTGTAATCCATTTAACTGCAGCCTCATCAAAGGCTTTGCCATGATTGATCTAAAACACTCAGGAAGTTGGCTTGATCAACTGTTTCACGGTCGAAATTCAGTCACCGTTGCATAACAAGACTAAATCCAATATGGAGGCAAAGAACAACAATGCCGAGTTGGATCACGGGACTGTCTAATAATTTTATGCTTCTCTTACATACCTTATTTCTCGACTACGCAGATACCGCATAGAACAAGAGCCCACGAACAATGGTCTGTGCAGATGTCAAAAACTTCTAAATATTACCTGGAATTAGAGCTAATCTGCATCACCGCGAGCAGGATTCTCAATGTGGTGGAATATAATGGTGGAGCTCTTTCAGAGGAGGAGTACATTTTTCAGTCTAGAGGTATGATTATAAAATTGTATGCGTTATCCTGGCGTTATTGACCGAGCGTGGGGTCAAGACCGGTCGGATATTGGCGAAGTTTTTTTGACAGAGACGAAGTTGAGGTCAATAAAAACGTTAAAACAAACAAAGCCAATATTCGGCCATCTTCACGGAATACACTTGGTCTATAAAGGATTTAATAGATGGTCAAAACAAGGAATTTTTTTTCTTGAGGGACAAACGCGGGAAATCCCGTGCGCCATCTTGCCTGCTCGGGTAGCCAATCAGAAAGCAGGATTCGTTTCATTTTGCCCGCTTACGGATTCTACCATACAATTAAAAAGGGTACGGCTTTTGCTAAGTACAATCTACCAATGTTTATGACACCCAGACAGTTTGCCAACAACTGACCACTCTAGAAAATACCATAACATACTATAATGCTGTTTGTTTGTCACCCCAAAATTTTGTATAAGTACTGTCTTCAGTCTCTCTTGGGAGTTAAAATGGCCCCAAGAGAAACTGAAAACTTAATGCTCATTCAAAATTTTGGGGTGACAAACAAAGAGCATTATGGTTTGTTTGTTTGTAATATTTATTTGTTTACCCACGGAGCACTAAAGAGTTCATAAGAACGTGTCCGTGCGTTCCAGATTGAATTGGAATTTGAAAGTGTTGGTTTTTAAGGCGAGAGGAAAACCGGAGTACCCGGCAAAAAAACCTCTCGGAGCAAGGTGAGAGAATCAACAACAAACTCAACCCACATATGGCGTCAACGCCAGGATTCGAACCGGGGCCACATTGGTGGGAGGGGAGTGCTCTCACCACTGCACCACCCTTGCTCCCCTGACCCTATGGTATGTTATGGTATTTTCTGGAGTGGTCAATTATTGATGCACTGCAGCTTGCCTGAGATCAGGCTGCATTTTAGTATGGTCTTCTCCACTAGTGGAGCCCCATTTAAGAGACGGTGGGAGATGTTTGCTTGTGGAATCCAGGATCCGGGAAATTTTTGTGCATGTGGAATCTGGAACTTTGGGCTTTGGAATCCAGAACCCCACCATAAGAATTGGGATCTGGAATCTAATTTCCACTTTCCGGAATCCAGTGCATGGAATCCAGAGTCCACGCCGTGGAATCCAGAATCCAAGAGTCGTCTTGGATTCTCTCACACGAGGCAATATGGGTATTCACATCCATTTTTGAAACTAACTACACCTTTAATTAGTAATGTCTATTTTTTTTTCCAAAAGTAATGATAAAATAATGCTTTTTTCACAATCTATATTAGCATTCTATTCTTGAAATTAACTGAAATTATATACACAAAAAAGAATGAACACAGGTGTTTTGAACTCAGTATTAATAGCCTGCACGACAGGCATCGAAAGAGGAGTAGGATGGACGGAAAAGGGGGCAGGGGATTCCTTTTCGTGTTTTTCTCTCCTCCCCATCCCCTTTTCTGCGGTTTCCTGAGGTAGGGGGTAGGTTTTTATAGAGAGGCGAAAAGAGTTGATTTTGCTATACAAGAGATATCTGGCTGGTAGATCTGTACATCCTGTACATGTCTTTAGACGCTGCAGTCTCTTTGACAGTTTTTTCGAAGGCTGGTTTACTGAGAACTATTTGACTTGTGGAACGTTTGATCACTGGCTGCTTGTTATTTATGGCTATTCTGTTCTCCTTCGTGCTTCTAAACTCGTCTCCAGACCTCGGTCTTCCACCCTTATACATAACAGGCATACTACTGTGACGTGTAAGCGATCCGAACGCTGGGAGTGAAGCGGAAAACGACGATTGGCGCGCGTGATCGTCGACGCCTTCAGAACGCCGACAACCGTACACTGCAAAGGTCTTTGTCCTGTAAGTGTTCCGCTCGAAGGCGTCGCTAGGCATTTCATTTATTACCGGCATGCTCCCGAAACGGCTAACAGCGCCGTCAGAAAGAGTATGCGAGCGACGCCAGGTGAACGGTGCGCTTGATAATCGTTCAGTGTCAGCCAGGCTACGTGCGCGAGCTCTGAAAACATTCCCTGTTCTTCTTTCGCTATTTTCCTTTCCCTCACTCTCACTTGGTTTGATCAAATGACCAAGATAACTGTTGGAACGTCTGGCAGTAGCAAAAAATGAACTACTTCGAGGTTTTACCGCGGGTGGAAAAGTCTTTAGTAATTGCGATGTACTTTCTTCGTTCTTTTCCTCTTCTTCGCTTTCTCCTTCGTCGCTCAATATTCCAGAGTCTTGTTTCGCGTGATTTATTCTAAGCTCTTCTCGATGGTTTTTGTTTTTAATGGTTTCCACTACTCTCACATATCCTGGAGCCGGTTCAAGATCTCTTGCTCTTTCCTCCTGTTGTGTTTCCATTTCCCATCTTTCTCTTTCATTCTTAAGTTCGTCTTTCAGATCGCAGATGCTTGAACGCATTGCAAGCAACTGCTTGTGCATGTTTTTGTCTTGAAGCTGTATGGCTGCCTGAGGAATTCAAACAAATCAAAACGATATGTTCATCAGTTTGACAAGGTTTAAACTGTAAAAGCGAAAGTAATACAAATACAAACAAGACCTCCTTCATCCCGGACTTCGTAATATAGCACAAAGAAGAGGCAAAGCAGCGAATCATGGGACAAATCGCACGGCTCATCCTCCCCAATTACCCCGCGCACCGGGTAGAAGCAATAGACCTTTTTACCGATATGGCGGCCATATTGAATTAATTCGACTTAAGGAGTATTATAGGATGCCCAGGGGGCATGAGCACATTTCGTTTCTATTTTCGAGCTTATTTCGGGAGATTTTTTCTTAAAGTTTTCTTAGAATAAGATTGTAATGGGAAAAAAGAACTTTGTGCCGTGTTTGGATGTAATAATGATCGCCTTTTTCTAGTTTAGTATTAGAAATATGATC